TGCTCTCTGGCAAAATGTCTTCAGCTAAGGTGGGCCCATCTCAGCACCCTCACCTGGATTCGGCACTGCGGGCAGGTCCGGCATGGTGCTGTCTCGAACCACTGAATCAGGCTGGAATAAAAAGCAGGACAGACTGCTGAGCCCCGGCTTAGCTGGAGACAGGCCAGGTAGCTACCCTAACCACGGCAGGTCGGCAAGTCGGTTCAGCTCCTCGTTGACCCACTGCCTGCCTGGGCAGGAGGGTAGCACTGCAGGCGCTATAGCACCCCCACAGGCCTCAGTGCTCAGTGCGAAGACCAATTGGCCTTTTTTTGGCCCTCTCAGCTTGGTTAGAAGCTGCTCTTCTGGGTTCTGACTGGCAGGGGAATGTGGGGGAAGGTGACAGTCAAAGCTGGAGTCCCCCAGAGACAGGGATTCTGATAACACTCCCAGTAAAGGCTGGAACTTCCAAGTCAACTAAAAGCAAAAGTGGTCAAAGCAAAATATGCCCCAGCTTTGCATCATCCATCTGGGGGGGTCTAGCAAAGTTCCAGCCTTGTACTTTAATTGGGGTACTCTCTCCTAGTAGGGTCCCACCCCTACGGACCAGGGTGAAACCAAGTCCTCTCTGGAAGGTGACAGCATCATCCTAGGCCTCGTGTGTTCTCTGAAATTTCTCAGATACCATGTACAACATATAATCAAGGCCAACCAGGCACAATGGAATACTGCGCCCAGGGAGTGTGAACGGGCCTATGACTGAGAACGGTATTATGGATGAATTGTAAAAAGATGACATTGAGGAAGAGAAACCAGACACGGGAAAAAAGGTACATCCTGTATAATCCCATATACTTGAAGTAAAAACGTAAGCAAAATTAATCTGTGCTCTGGAAGCCACAATACTTCTCTTTATGTGGGGGAGCGAGGTGGGGGCTGGTAAGGGTAACTAGAACATATAACTTTCTTTTCTTTTTTAAAGAGGGATTTTTGGGAACCAGCAGTTAGCGTAATGGCTATGTCGCTGGACTCCCACGTAGTCGACTGCGGTTCGTGTCCCGGACCCGGTGGCTTAAAAACTCACGCTGGGCGCGTGTGCGTGCGTGCCCAAGATCCGGGAGAATGGAGGAGAAGGGATTGCGGCGTGACCATCCCCCCTGGGGGGTGATTTCTCACTTTCTGTCTCTATGTCTCTCTCTGTCTGTCTGGTGAGCGCACACGCCCTACAGTGAAAATCTCTCAAAAAAAAAAAAAAAAAGAGGGCGCGTGTGATGGCTGGAGAGACAGAGAGACAGAAAGTGAGAAATGAACCCCCAGGGGGATAGCCAAGCCACAATCCGTTTTCTTCCACTCTTCTTTAGGGATTTTGGGCACGCATGCACATGCACCCAGCTTGAGTTTTAAGCTGCTGGGTTCAAGATTCGAACCGTGGTCAACTATGTGGGAGTCCAGCAACATAACCATTATGCCATCTACTGGTCCCAAGGTTTTCTTTCTTTCTTTTTTTTTAATAACTGCTTTATTTAATTTTATTTATTAGTATTATTTTCTAGTTTGCTACAAGACACACGGCCTCACCAGAGAGAGACGGGAGGGAGGGAGGGAGGGAGGGAGAGAGAGAGAGGGAGAGAAAGTGAGAAAGCAAGCCAGGTCCAGGACTTGAGCCATGGTTGGCCATGTGGGAGTCCAGTGCCTTACCTACCATGCCACTTGCTAGCTCCTGTAACGAATTTTCTAAGTTGTCCCATTTCTTGATCTGAATTCTAGCTGCATGGTGTGCTCAGTTTATGAAAATTTTATAAGCCATGCATCTACATGCTTTTTTGGGGGGTAACTATTATTACACGTCAATTAAAAAAATTAAATAGGCACAAAAAGAAAACAGCACAGAGAACAAATCAGAAGAACATGCCCACGAAATCTGCAGGTCCTGGAACTGTCAAACACAGGCAACTATGCTAAAAATGTCAAATTTGAACTTGAAAATATGAGTAGAGACTTATAAACTAAAAGGTGGTATGGCAGAATTTTAAAAGAATCAAACAGAAAGCTAGTCCTGTAGCCTGGTGGCTAAGGGAAGCCAGATGCCACACGGGCAACCACAGTTCAAGTCCCAGCTCCAGCGGCTTAAAAAACTTGCCAGGTGCTATGTGCGCATGCCCAAGATCCCGACAGATGGAGAGATGGAGGAGAAAAGACTGCAGTGTGGGGACCAGCAGATGGAGTAATGGTTGTCACTGGACTCCCACATAGTTAACCAAGGTTTGAGTCCCAGACCTGGCAGCTTAAAACTCACACTGGACACATGTGCGGGCGTGCCCAGGATCCTGAGAGGAGAATGGAGAAGGGATTGTGGCATGGCCATTCTCTCGGGGGGGGGGGGGGGTTTTTCTC